CACAAGATGGGCAATTGTCGCATTTAATGTGACTCCTACAAAGATACAAGGGGCAATACGTCATATTTTCGTGTAAGTGATATTTCGGGATAGAAAAACATCCATGTGACATTCTACGCAATTTTTCAAACTCCAAAAGTGACATTATCTGCAGATTAACCTATTGTAAAACCGCCTCAAGTCCCTAACGCCTTGGCACTGCATTGCTTCTACACCATGAAACTCATTTTCGGTAGCTTCTAAACCTTTCCTTGCCTTATACTGTTATTGCTAGGTTCTACAGAAGGAAGATACTCTTTCTCGTTAGCTTCAAAGCAGTTTCCTTGCTTTGTTTCATTACGATTCGCTTATACGCCAACAAACTCGTTTTTTCTTTAGCTTCTAAACACTTTCCTTGCCTTGTGTTGTTGCTAGGTTCTACACACAAAAAACTCTGCTTATGTTTCTTGATTTTTCTTCACCATTTTTGTTTCTTGAAAGAATTAAAAGAGAACACAACTTACCGTGTTTGTTCAGACCATCACTATTCAAAGGCAACAACTGGAGCGCAGGTGTTTCCTCGTTTTGGACCAATTTGAATGTGAACAAATCTCCGTGTTTCTTCCCATTAGCGGCACAGAAAGTTGTCCAGCCTCTTTTCATGTAAAACCGGCCTGAATATGGCTCGTGTATCAAGTCTATCGTCCATGATTCTCCCTTTTCATTCATCAAAACAATCTGAAATTTCTTTATCAAACTATTTGCCACTGCGAACGCTTTCGGAAGATACTGCAAATGCCGCCTCAAGTTTAGTTACAGTTATATTGAATATGATTTAAATACCTCACACTCAAAATTACTGTATATTAAGCAAAATGAGTAATATGGAAGTTACATAACCACTGTATCACGCCTTAGGTTCGAAGCCGTGACAGTGATCTCAAAACAAGAATGGTCCGGTGAAGAGTCTGCTTCTGTTTCTCGACACTTCTTTCTTGTAACCTTCTTTACATAAACTGTAGAATATGATTTGCAAAAATTTAAGAGGTTTATAAATATTAAACGCATTCAAACTCTAAATATTTATGCTCGAGATACAAAAAAGACCACAAATATTTATGCTTAAGTACCAAAAAGATGATACCTTGAATAGATTTGTCGAATGGAACATATATATCACAAACCTTCTTTGCATCATATTTTGACTGTCACATTATTATTTTTATTCAAAGAGTGAAAGAGAATACAACTTACCAAGTTTTTCCAGATCTTTACTGTTCAAAGGGAGTAACTGGAGCAGAGGCGTTCGCTCATTCTGAACCAATTTGAATGCGAACAAGTCTCCAGGTTTCTTCCCATTAGCAACGCAGAAACTTGTCTAGCCTCTTCGTATGTAAAACCGGCCTGAATATGCCTCGTGTCTGAAGTCTATCGTCGATGATTCTCCCTCTTCATTCATTAAAACAATCTCAACTTTCTTCATCAGACCATTTGACATTACAAACGCTTTCGGAAGATACTGCAAATGCCCCCACAAGTTTAATTATAGTGATCATGAAAATGACTTAAGAGTTAAAACACCACCGACTTCAATAAATTTTTTTTACTATATATGAATAAAGAAAGTAATATGGAAGTAACATAACCAATGTACCACGCCTTAGGTTAGAAGCCGTGACAGTGGCCACAAAGGAAGATTGGTCTGGTGAATGAGGATCTGCTTCTGTCTCTGGACGCTTCTTCTTTCTTGAAACCTTCTCTGTTTCACAAAGCTTCTCTGTTGATAGATTTAAAGTAATCTCAGACTCATTCTAAATGTGGTAATAAAATGTAATATAACAACAAACAAAGGTTACCTATTTTGTCTTCTTCATCGCAATCTTCTCCATAATGTATCTCACAGAAACTTGGTCCTAAAGGTGAAACATGGAACACTAACTCTCCTTCATGTCTGAAAACGACAATGTCACCGACTCGAAGATCATGTGCCAAAGCAAAATCTTGCCAACCATCAGAGATTCTCCGGCGGTCGATCTTCACTTTCCAAGTGATCTCCGATGCGTCTGATCTCAGCTCAGCTGTTTTGCCTTGGCTACTTCCCTCAAAATGTTTCAAAACGAAAGCCACTGGAATGTCCTGAAACAGCATGCAAGATGAGTTAGAACAGAAGCAACTTTGGTCGGAGAGAGATAGAGAAACAGAGCATACGAGGTGGTTGGTGAAACCGGGAAGAAGCGGTTGGAAGAAATGTGGTTTGTTCGGAGAATAGAGAGATGGATTCGTCATATTGAAACGATGAGTTTTTGTTTTTCCTTTATCTGCTTCTGAGCAGAGAAGATTAACAATATTATAGGGTAGTTTAGTTTCTCTTGAACCAACCAAAAAAAAAACAAAAAACAGCAGAAGAAAGTATCTGTTCATTTGTAGCAGTCATCTAAGTTTATGACTTTATTCCTAGAAAACAAAGAATTCCAAACAAATCACTACAAAGCACAAAACACCAAATTATGAACTATTCCCCTTCAGTGCCTTTTTCTTTTCAGTGAAAAGTGAAAACCAAATAATACATACTTTTGAGTAATGCGAAATTTGTTTTAAGATGACATTCAAATAATATAATTTTTTCTAAGTTTCAGTTACAATTTGCTGCAAAAATGTAGTAACAGTATTTCAAATTTTGACAATCATGGTTTACTTCAATAGCTTTTTTTCTGGTTGAATCAAAGACAGTCTTGGCACACTAAACTTGAGAGATTCAAACAAAATAGTTTCTCAATGGTACCCTGTTTCTCTGGTTTGTTGCTTGACTTGACGAACACGGGCATTTCTCTACTTTATTGATGTATGAATCGTTGTCTGGTTGTTGAAACTCTCTCCAAAAATTATTTCCTTTGCGGTTCAGTAGGAGACAGAGTATGAATTTGCCAAGTGTTAGAATGCACACAACATAAACTACAAAAAACAGAAGGCTGAAATTGTCTACAGTGAGCTGCCTAGACGTAAGAGATGGATTAGGATCTGGATTGGTGACTGGGTCTGGACAACTTTCTTCTTTCTTCTTGAACCACGCACGCTCAAGTTCCATTGCCTTTGGCGACTCTGCTACTTTTAATATGGCCCGTGAAACATCAGCAACCAAAGGTGATCCGATCGGAAAAACCTGCGAAAAAAAGAACCACTTATGATCTCCTTCATTTAATGATACTTTCACATAAGTTATGTCTTGAAAACTTACAAAGCCGAATCCATCGACGTTGAAGGGTTCTTCGACCATTTTATAAGTGTTGCAATATTGTCCAAGAAAAAGTCTCAAGTAAGGTATTTCCAAGAAAGCTGCAGAGATACCGCCATTTTTTGGTCCTTTTCTCAGAAGATCATCGCATTCTTCAGCGGTATCAAAGGGCACAAGGCTAGATTGCGAGAAACCTGTTTCTTTAAGCTTTCCGAGGATGAAGGATGTTCTCTGATAACCCACTGTTTCTCCTTTCTCAAGCAAGCTACTCATACTGGTTATGGTTGGATTAAGTTGCTGTGATGTCAAAAGCGACGCCAAACTGGCTGTGTAACTTTGAGTCAACACGAGAACGATGAAATACCATGTGATAACCAGAACCCTAGCTCCAAAGCTGAACACTCTTTCTCCTGCGGACAGCGACTCAAGAGTAAGCATCAAGCAAGGTGATAATTAGTAAGACCAATMWATRSWKGCTGATAKAAAAMGAGGGGAGAKAAATGTACTTGGAGCAAAAACCATGGTAGAGAAGGCGAACCAGAAGATGGTACTAGCTTGGAAATTAGGCGGTCCACGGAAGTCCGGATTAACCCTATGCTCAAGAACCCAAACCGTACAGCCAATAAGGAAGAAGGAGGCAAAGGAAGTCAACCATAGTTTCCATGACAAAGGTTTCAAGAAACTGATACTGTCTCTCTTCACTGCCTCTGTCATTGGGACGATCAATCCCACACCTGATTTAATGAACGGAAATGTGAAGTCGACGTAAGAGGACCTATTTGCCAGTATAGTCGTATCTCCCACAACTGCGTCATATTTCTGCAACAGAGTAAAAAAGGAGAAAATTAAGAGGATTATTGTAAAGGGTAATGTTTTAAGAACGGACTGATGGTCTAACTCACCCCAAGATAAACTTGGTAGATCAGGTCGTTGTGATCCCCTGCTGGTTCGCCATTAGATTTCTCCAAAGGAAAGAATTCGTAGGAGACATCATAAAGCATTGCTTGGGTTACAGCCTTAAAGGATTGGTGAGAGGATTTCTTGTGACCTTTACAAGATCGGTGTAACCAAATCTCTTTGGAACTCCAATGCGTAGCTTCTTCCCGTTCGTTGGGATCTCCCATCCTTTGGGAACAGAATTAGCCTCTCCAGGCCATATAATATTCTTAAGATGATCTTGCCAAGTTGATAAAGCTCCCATGCTTTGCGGTTCTTGGTCTAATTTCTTCATAAGACCATTTTCTTCCGTCCAGAATCCGATTGACCTTTCTCTGGTTCCGACTACATTTTCAATCTCAAACACCGATGGCTGCAGTTGCCCTTTGACAAAGCGGAAATCTCCAGCAAGTCCTTTGAACTGAACGCGTGARAGTGTTTGGAGAAGCTTSGGACCRTATTSAGATAWACCAAGAGCTYCAAGTTCAGACACATTCMTCCCYAGATCAGCATTACTGAAAGTCAAGTTATTTGTTCCAGCTTCTTCAATGGCTATCGCCAATGCGGTGATAGCATCATAAGCCCACAGACCGTAGACGCTCAGCTCCATCTGTGGGAATTTCTTCCTCCATCGAGCTCTAAACTTGTCTAGATCTTTGGATTTCCGAATATAAGTTTTAACACCCAATACCCCTTCCATAGCCTCGATACCCATCTCATTAATCGAACTGAAGTCATCAGTAACTCCATTGGTAAGGATCCATACATATCCTGGTTTCATCAAACCAATCTCCTTAGCTTTCATGAAGACTCTTGAGGCAAGAACAGAGTACATGTGAACAATAAAGATTCTTGTGGGCATGGTCATCATCTTAAGAAGCTCCACAGAGATTTCATCGTCTGTGGCATTGAGAGCGATAACAGATCGATAAGGTATTCGAACGTTGATCTCTTGCAATGCATCAGTTAGACGAGGCATTATACCTTCTCCAAAGGTGTTGTCGATGTAAACAGGCACAACTTCTCTCCACCCAAATAACTTGATGATAGCTCCTATGGCATGCACTTGAGAGGAGTCTTCGTATGTAGCTCGAAAGAAGTATGGACTCCGAAGAGAAGTAAGAAATGGGCTTGTTGCAGAGTAGGAAACAACAGGAACCCGAGATTTCTGGCCAATCTCTATCAAGAAATGAGCTTGCATTGATGTCCATGGCCCCAAAATTGCTTTCACTTGCTTGTTCTTTATCAACTCAAGAGCTATGACGATGTCAAAACTAAGAACATTTAGGTTGAGTATGTGATAAAAACTGAATGCGAATAGATTGATGATCACAATTCGCAAACGTGAACATATTTAGTTCGAATATATACCATTTTTTTGGCATTGACGCCTTTTGGAAGTACATACATAGAGTAAGTAAGAAAAAGGGTAACATATCCAAACCAAATATATATAT